CTACACCGTCAGCGCAGAGCCCCATGCAGGGCTCAAACTCAAACTGTGAGGTTGTGACCTGAGCTGAGACCAAGAGTTGGTGGTCACTTGACTGTGCCACCCAGGTGCCCCAGGAAGAAAACTTCTAAGTAGAGAGGATCTTTGGTGCAGCAAGTAGGGGTCCAGGGAAGCTAGGGACGCACCATGTTTTTTCACAGTCTGTAGGAGAGAGGAACCCCTGAAAAACCATTGTGTTGTAGCCATTTAGAGCAGGAGAGAAAAATATGGGATCTCTGGGGTCCTGTTTGGTGGACAGGAATTTGCCCTGCTCATGGCCCATCATATGAGGACAGGAATACTGGGAAGGCTGAGATTCTGTGCCTTGAATTGTTTGTACTAGTCCTTCGTGGGCCGATGGTTTATTTATAAAGAACTTGATTGTGGGAGTAAATTTCAGAAACCTATTCTGCAGTGAGTTAGTGGTTCTTTATCAATGACGAGATAAAACAGAATAAGAGCCCATCTAGAATAATGCGTTAGATATTATACGGGAAAGATAACATCTTTGATGGAGAGAAAAACTGTACAGAAAAACTGTACAGATAAGAAAAAAAAATGTAAATGATTGCCTCTTCAGCACTTGACCGAAAACGATTTTTTTCAGGTACTCAAGGACTAATGGAATTAATTTTGGAAATAGGATTTAAGCTTATAGTCAGAACAGGAACATTGGGTAAATGGTAGCAAAATGAAAGAAGATAAGCTAACTGAGCAGGAAGAAAAGGAATTTCCTTAGAAGAAAGTTCAAGTCCATAAAAGCCAGGCCAGGCAGATATAAAGGGAGCAGGGAATTCATACATATATATAAAATGTGTGTATATAAAATGTGTGTGTATATATATGTATAATGTATGTAATGTATAATATACATGTATATAAACTGGCCCTGAAGATGTGACTAAACATCATTATTGGAGCATGTGCTCAGCGACAGAAGGAAGAATGAGGAGGACATAGTGTCCAGAAAAGCATGGGTCCACTGTGGGGAAATTGTGAAGACTCACTATGACAGTTGTGCAGCAGGACTGGAAACTTGTGTCCTCATACTGTTAGAGTGGGCAGTTAGGTTCTAACAGGATACTTGGAGGCCAGCCCCGAGGAAGTCATGGCCAGCTATTGGGAAGGTCAGAGGCCTGTCCTGGCACCACTCCACCACAAGCCAGATCAAACCAGACAGACCCAAGATGGCGGATGCCATGACAGGAAACTCCTGATCAAATTAGAAGAAAAAGCTCTAAACACTGCTTCCTTCCCCAGCTAATGAATATTACACCCCTAGTTAACAACTGTCAATCAAAGATAGAAAACTGAATCCCTTGGGCATGCAACTCTCCCTCTCTCTCTTTCTCTCGCCCACTCATATCTTGAGTGTACTTCTCGCTTTAATAAACTTTTCCACTTGTGTCACCTGTCTACTGTTCTGTGTGTCTGTCTTTGAATTCATTCTCATGACAAGACCAAGAACTGTCAGCAACTCTTTCGGGTCTGGCTGGGTCAAGGCCCCAGGGCCCAGGGTCTCCCCAGTTCACCAGGCAACAATACCAAGGAGGATTTGTGGAAAACCTAGGCTATCATAAAGTCAAGCAGTGAAAATAGAAAAGCAACTAGGAATTTTGAAAAAGTTGTGCAATATAAGAAATATAATCTTTGTATACCATTTGGCTCTGCAGCGAGCACTGTTTACATGGCATAGGGAAAAGGTCTTTCTGAGTTGCTGGAATGAGATAGAGATATTGTTGGGTGACATCTGGGCACTGCAATCATTATTGCCACCTGACAGATTCTGGCTGTGTTGCAGGGACCAAAAGGGCCCAGAATGTGTAAACATTCCTTGACATAGAAGTGCACACATTTGTGTGTAAATTCTGATTAGCTTACCTTGAGTATGAAAGCATGGCTCACAAAAGATGAGTTCCTCCAACACAGAAGGACCCACCTGAGGATCCTCTATGTGTAACTTGAGCTGCATCTGTCTGATACACTGGGTATATACCAAGTTCACCTGGTATGCCAGGACCCCGTAAGGCTCTGCTGAGCTGTGCTGCACCTTCTGCTTTCTGTGGTTACCTTATTTCCCATAGGATTTTGTAAAACTTCGCTAGTTAAATCTTCCCTAACCATATGTAAATGTTGCATGAAGCTTTCTCAGGGCATTTGTCATTTGCTAGCTTATAGCAGTGATAATTTGACATCGTTTCCATCAGTTTCAGATTTCTTTGTCTTTACTTTTTTTGGTATAAATGTTCAGATAAATGGACATTGAATATTCTACATATGCTTTGTAAAATCTTTTTTAAAATATTTTTTTATGTTTATTCATTTTTGAAAGAAAGAGGGAGGACTGGTCCACAAGTAGGGGAGGGGCAGAGAGAGAAAGACACACACACACACACACACACACACACACACACACACACACAGAATGTGAAGCAGACTCCAGAGAGCCCAATGCAGGGCTCCATCTCACGAACTGTGAGATCATGACCTGAGCCTAAGTCAGACACTTAACCGACTGAGCCACCCAGGTGCTCTTGTAAAGTCTTAAGTATGTTGTATGTAACGCTTTCCTAAGAAAATGCTAAATGAAGATGTTCACACAGCCATTTTGCAGAGTTATTAATGAAAAGAATGACTTTTTGTGTTACATCAAATGTTGAAATAATTGTGTTTATCTCAATAAAATTTGTGTTCTGGCATAATTTATAATAGAGCTTAGAAATGTATAAAATCTTTCCCACGGAGATTAATAGTATGATAGTTTGACTTACAATAAGTGCCTTAAGTCTTTTTGTTTTTAAACACATTGCCCTCATAGGGAAGATGCTCTTGTGTTTTTTTTTTAAGTTTATTTTTATTTATTTTGAGAGAGAGAGAGAGAGAGAGAGAGAGAGAGCAAGCAGGGGAGGGGCAGAAAGAGGGAGACCTAATTCCCAAGCAGCCTCCGTGCTGTCAGCGCAGAGCCTGATGCAGCGCTCGAACTCACGAACCATGGGATCATGACCTGAGCCGAACGCTTAACCGACATCAAGCCAGATGCTTAACTGACAGAGCCACTCAGCTGTCCCTGATCTTGTTTAAAAGTCCTTAATGCAGCCTGGCTGGGTCCAAGGACCCAGCAGGGGTCCCACGGGACCAGCCAAGAGGGTCCTTGGCTTCACCCAGAATGGAAATCAAATGTGAGCCAAGACAAGATGAGAGCAGAGTTTATTGAAGACCACAGAGACAGAGTATAGATACATACAGAGTGTCTGGGTGACTCCAAAAGGAAAGGGAAGGAAAATGAGTCTTGGCTTTGCTTGGAGCCTGGCGTTTTTATCGAAGACAGTTGTCTCGTATACCTGTCTTCTTAGTAATCCAAGGAACAAAGATGAGTATTGAAGTGTCCTCCCTAATTCACTTACGCCCTGGGACCAGGGGTCTTGGTGAGTCATTGGTCCTGGAAAACTTTCACATGACTCCACTTGGTTCTTAGATGTTATCTGTTGTGTTGGAAGATGCCAGAGAAATTAAATCCTTGACCTTTACAAGGAGGACGTACATTGTTCTATAATGCCTGCAATAAGGGAGGGATGTAGGTTCTAACAAGAATAGAAGCAGGAAAAGGAGTGAAAAAGCAGCTTTCACGGGGTCTCTTTGGTTTCCCTGTCTCAGCCTGATCCCAGATCCTTTCCCTGATTCCATGTAGCCATGTGATTCTCCTTCCCCCCACCCAGGCAGAAATCTGGAAGTGCGTTTTCTCAAACTCGTGAACCATAGATGTCCTTCTTTCAGGGACACCATGCAAAGCTGAAGGGGCAGGAATGATCCACCCAGTTGTAGAAAACGGGGATTGTCAAAGGATGCATACTGAATCTCTAGGCTCCTCTCCTTGCTCAGCTTCCAGAATGCTCAAATCATTCCTTCTAATCTTGGAAAACAGGGAATGTAGCCAAGGCTGAAGATCACCTGGCTCCTGGGGTCCCAAACAGACCAGGTTCGGCCACTCACCCACTGACAAAACCCACGGACAGCCTCCAAGAAGAGCTTCTTGAGATAGGATGGAGACATTTGCTTGGATTGCAAATATGTAATGAAGACCCATCACGGAGCTCTCCCATTGGCAGGTCTATCTGTGCAGGGGGGTACCCTGACAAGTCTTTGAAGGCTGGCAGGGATCGAGCTATATAAAACATTTAACTTAATATGAGGGACACAGTATTCACAGGGAAGGCTGCTGAGCCATCAACTGAAATCTGTTTCCAGGCGGGGCCTGGAACATACATCCAGGGATAGGGTGGGAAAGGGGTCTAAGGCTAAATGTTAATAGGTTTTTCCCTAAACGGTGCCACATTGTGGCAGTCCCAGCAGCACTTGTATCTTCAAAAGCAAAAACACAATTAGAAAACCAAACAACCCGCAAGCACTTACCGTGTGCCAACAACTACTGTAAATACTTTGCCAACCCACTAACTCACTTAATTATTAAACCTCAAAAGCCCTTTGAAGTCGGTATCACTATTATACCCATTTCGCAGATAAGGAAACAGGTAAAGAAATTTGCTGTTCCTCCCACAGCTAAGAAGTGGTACAGCCAGGTTTGTGGACCTAGGTAGTCAATGCTCTCAACCAACACCCAGTTGGCTGTTGAGTGATGGGTCCCACTCTTCCCCCTACTGCAGCGCAGCCACAGAACCCAGGCAGGCTTTGGCACAGGTGGAGCAATGGTCCCTTCAATAGCTGGAAGGGCTGCCAGAAGTGGCAAACGCCAAGGAACCCTGGGTGATTCCCCGTCTGTGGCCCGAGCTGGCTAGACGACATCTTCCGGAGGAGCTGCCGCGAGGGGGCGCTGCAGGACCCGAGCCTGGAGCCGGTAACTCTGGCTCGACGTTTCCCGGAGTAGAGACCGTGGCGGTTGCCGCCGGGCTGGGGAACCACGGAGACCGGGAAGTTTGCAGCTTCCTAGAGAGGAGGGGAAACGGCCCTACGCGCTTCCGGCGGCGCGGGCCCTAAGCTTTCCCGGGAGCCCTGGCCGACCGCCTTCTCGCGCGTTCCCTGCGTCCGGGGCGCGCGGCGTCAGCGGTCGCCTGGGCTCCGCGTCCCGGGAACGGGCTACCGGGGTCGCATCCCCGCGGAGTTCTTCAATGCTCGGTTCTCCGATCCCTGTGCCTCTGTGGTGAGAGGGGTTCCAGGACGCAGGGAGCCCCCGGCGGACAGACGGCGTTTGCGGGGTGCGCGGCAGCAGCTGTCCTGCCCGTCGTTTATTTTCTCTTCTGTCTCACCTCGAACCCCGAGGGCGTGTGAAACGGGGACCCCAGCCATGCTCCAGATCACGTGGCACCAGGTGAGCGAGCCTCCTCTCCCCCTCTGTCGCTCACCCCTCTCCCCTCCCGTAACCGGCCCTCCCACCTTCTGATGTCAAGGGAGCAGCTGTCAGCCTGCATCCGGAGCCTGAGTTGTGCAGGTGTTCCTGGACTGGGGTCCTTGGACCCAGCGTGGGTAGAAACGAGACGGGACCCAAAATGTAAAGTCCCAAGAAAGGCTTTATTGGGGCTTATGCTCGAGCTCAGAAGAGCAGCACAAAGGGAAGAATCCTCAGGCTGACTGTCCGAGGAGAGGTCTGGGAGAGTTTTTTTTAAAGGTACTTCGGTGGGAAGAGGGGGCTGTCTACGCATGTAGAGGCAGGGATTTATTAGCACCTGCGCACTTCAAGGTCATGTTTCTTCATGCATGGCGTGCGTAATGATCGTGTTGAATCTGGGCCCCTGGGCATGATTTTTAGTATTATAATGAGGGGAAAATCGTGGAAGTTCGGCACTGGGGGGGGGGGGGCGCAAGGCAGGGGGGGGGGTTGGCTCTCGGAGCGCACTGGTTTGGACCTGGCTGGGTTTGCTCCTTAGCTGGTGCTTTGCTCTACGAGCAAAGTAAAAATATCCGGTAGGGAGTTCTGCAAGAAAAGCGCTGACAGCCCGCAGGCGGCGGGGAGTTTCACAGGTGCACATGGGGCTTGTTCCCAAGGTTCCTTACTGTTTCGCAGGCTTGTATCTTTCATTTGCATCTGTCACCATCGGGTGTGTTTGGACAGGGGAGGATGAGTTGAGAGGGACGGACAGATGAGAAGGCCCAAACGAAGACATGATCAGGATGGAAAAACAAGTGTAGGGGATTGATTGGGATAGGTTTGGCAATCGAGGCTGAAAAGTAGAAATTCATTAAACGGGAAATTTGCATCATTGCATACAGTGAGGACCCTTTTCACCTCTGTCCACAAATTGAAGTCCTTCCATGGATAAAGTAATTCTAGTATTGTCATTACTTTTTGGTAGATTCCGCTGGATGTTTACAGAGACATGCCATCTACAAATGAAAACAATTGTCTTTCTTTCTTTCCTGTCTGGATACCTTTTATTCCTTTTTCTTGCCTAACTGCACTAGCCAGAACCTCCATTTCAATGTTGAGTAGAGGTGGTGAGAGCAGGCATCTTTGTCTTATTCTTGACCTTAGGGTGAAAGCATTCAGTGTTTCACTATTAAGAATGATCCTCACCATAGGGTTTGTTTTGTTTTGTTTTCTGTAAATGCCCTTTATCAGATTGAGAAAGTTCTCTTCTATGCCTAGCTTGCTGCAGGAATGGATGTTGAATTTTGACACATGCTTTTCCTATGTTGGTTTAGAGGATTATATGATTTTCCTGTTTTAGTTTCTTAATGTGGCAAATTACATTGATTTTTTTTTTTTTCAAATATTCAACCAACCTTGCACTCCTTGGATAAAAACTACTTGGTCTTGATGTATTATTCTTTGACTATATTTTGGATTCTATTTTGTTAAATTTTTGTGTAGAATTTTTGCCTCTATGTTTGTAAGAGGTATTGATCTTCAGTTTTCTTTTCTTGTAATGTCCTTGTCCCATAGAATATGGGAAGTATTTCATCCTTTTCAGTATTTTGGAAGAATTTGCATAGAACTGATTACATTTCTTCCTTAGGTGTTTGGTAACCAGTGAAATCATCTAGATGTGGAGTTTTCTTTCTGATAAGTTTTAAAGTACAGTTTCAGGGGGCGCCTGGGTGGCTCCGTCGGTTGAGCGTCCGACTTCGGCTCAGGGAATGATCTCACAGCTTGTGAGTTCAAACCCCGCGTCGGGCTCTGTGCTGACAGCTCGGAGCCTGGAGCCTGCTTCCAATTCTGTGTCTCCCTCTCTCTCTGCCCCTACCCGCTCCATTCTGTCTCTGACTCTCTCAAAAATAAATAAAATGTTACAAAAAAATTTAAAATACAGTTTCAGTTCCTTTGTAGATATAGGGCTATTCTGTTTCTCCTTGAATGAGTGTTGGTAATTTGTGTCTTTCAAGGAATTTGTCCGTTTTACGTTGTGGACATTAATGGCATAAAGTTGTTCATAATAATTACTATCCTTTTATTACCTGTAGTGGTCACCTTTTTTATAACTAATATTGCTAATTTATTTCTTCTCTTTTTTTTCTGATTCATCTGACCAGAGATTTAGAAGTTGCATTGATCTTCACAAAGAACTACTTTTGGTTTTGCTGATTTTCTCTATTTTTCTGTTTTATGTCACTGATTTCCACTTGGATCTTTATTTTGTTTGTTCTGCTAAGTTTGTGTTAAATTTGTTTTTTCTCTCGATTCTAAAGGTGAAGGTCACCTTTCTCTAGATTCCAAAAGGTGAAGGTCACCTTTCTCTAGATTCTAAAGGTCACTGGCTCAAGACATTTTTTCTTTTTACATTTTGTAACACAGGCATTTAACACTATAAATTTCTTCCTAAGTACTGTGTTAGCACCATCCTTCATTTCGGTGCATTGTGTTTTCATTTTCTTTTTTTTTTTTTAATTTTTTTTTTCAACGTTTATTTATTTTGGGGACAGAGAGAGACAGAGCATGAATAGGGGAGGGGCAGAGAGAGAGGGAGACACAGGATCCAGAGCAGGCTCCAGGGTCTGAGCTGTCAGCACAGAGCCTAGGACAGGCTTGAACTCACAAACTGAACTGTGAGATCGGAAGTTGGACGCTCAACTGACTGAGGCACCCAGGCGCCCCTCTGTTATTTCTAATTTAATTCTGTTGTGGTTAGTGAACACTCTTTGTTTGACTTGATCCTTCTGATTTCTTCTTTATAGCCCAGAGTATGGTCTACCTTACAAAAGGTTCCTTGGACACCTGGAAAGAATGTGTATTCTGCTGTTGTGGATGGGGCGTTCTGTAAATGTCCGTTAAGTCAAGTTGGATAATAGTATTGTTCATGTTTGCTATATCCTCGTTGAGAGGGGTTATTGAAATTTCCAGTTGCAATTATGGATTTGTCTATTTCTCTTGCAGTGTCATCAGTTTTTTGCTTCATGTATTTCGACGCTCTGTTGCTAACTGTATAAACATGTAGGATTGTGGGGGTTTTTGTTTATGTTTTTGTTTTTTAAGTTTTATTTATTTAGGTAGTCTCTATAGCCAACAAGGGGCTTGAAGTCACAACCCCGAGATCAAGAGTCGCATACTCTCGGGACTGAGCGAGCCAGGAGCCCCGGCATGTAGGATCGTTAGATGCCCTGATTCCTTTATGGTTATGAACGACTATCTTTCTCTCTTACTATTCTTTGCTCTGAAATCTACATTACCTTAAATTAATAGAGCCACTTCAGCTTTTTTTGGCTAGTGTATTTTTTCCCATCTTTTTGCTTTTAAGGTATTCCTGTCTTTATATGTAATATGCGTTTCTTAAAGTCAGCGTATAGTAGGCTGAGTTTATAATGTTTGCCTCTTGGGATGTTTAGATTATTTATGATGTGGTTGGATTTGAGTCTGTCATCTTCGTATTTGTTTTCTAATTGTCCCGTCTGTTCTTTGTTCCCTTTACTCCTCTTTTCCTACCTTCTTTTTTTTTTTAATTTTTTTTTTTTTACTTTTGTTTATTTTTGAGAGACACAGAGAGACAGAGCACGAGTGGGGGAAGGGCAGAGAGAGAACGAGAGACAGAATCTGAAACAGGTTCCAGGCTCTGAGCTGTCAGCACAGAGCCCGATGCAGGGCTTGAACCCACAAACTGTGAGACCATGACCTGAGCTGAAGTTGGACGCTCAACTGACCAAACCACCCAGGTGCCCTTACTTCCCCAAAATATTCTTTAAAAAAAAATTTTTTTTTAGATTTTATTTTTAAGTAATCTCTACACCCAATGTGGCACTCGAACTTACAACCCTGAGATCAAGAGTCACATGCTCTGCTGACTGAGCCTGACAGGTGCTCCCCCCCAAAATACCCTTGAGTGTTTTCTGGAATAAAGTTCAATTACTTAGGAATACATTTGATCCTTTTTGGTCTTGATTTTTATGATTTGGTACTAGGATCTGGAGCGGTGCATGGCCTAGAAATAATTATTCTCCACGACTGAGGCAAGAGTTTCCTGAGAGCTCTATTCAATAGCCCATGAATTATGGATTTTTTCCAGTGGAAATAGGTACTTTTACTGGCCCTGTGTGAACACCAGGCTTTGTGCCCTTCAGTCTTTTCAGATGAAAAGGGCCCTGGTCATTGTTCTGTTGAGTACTCTGGAGAACCCCTGCCCATAACCCCCCTGGGTTTGCTTCTCTGTGCAGCTCTCTCCGTGGTGTCCTGTCCTCTAAACTCCCACAGTCTTGGTCTCCTCAGAATCCACCAGGGAAGCTGCTGGGCTTTGCCTCGTTCCCCCTCCCTGTGATGCAGCCTGGAAACCCTTCCAAGACAAGCTTGAGGAATCTTAGGGCTCACCTCTTTATCTCCCATCTCTTGGGGAATGTTGTCCTTCATTGCCATCAGATGTCGCTAACCTGGGAACCTGTTTGACGTAATTTGTCTTGTCTCGGTTTAGGCAGGATGAACCCGATCCCTTTGACTCCATCTGGACGGGAAGCAGAAGTTTTCACTCAGCATTTTTTTTTTTTTTTTATTTTAACGTTTATTTATTTTTGGGACAGAGAGAGACAGAGCATGAATGGGGGAGGGGCAGAGAGAGAGGGAGACACAGAATCGGAAACAGGCTCCAGGCTCTGAGCCATCAGCCCAGAGCCTGACGCGGGGCTCGAACTCACGGACCGCGAGATCGTGACCTGGCTGAAGTCGGACGCTTAACCGACTGCGCCACCCAGGCGCCCCTCACTCAGCATTTTTAAAAACGTTTTCCCATTTGGGGCACCCGGCTGGCTCAGTCCGTAGAGCGTGTGACTTGCTCTCGGGGTTGTCAGTTCAAGCCCCACGTTGGGTGTAGGGATTACTTAAAAAAATATATATTTAAAAAATAAACAAAGACTTAAAACAAAACAAAAGAAAACGTTTCCCTGTTTGTTTTCGCTGAGTAGTCTGTTGCCATCTCGACTCCCCAGTCCTCTTGTGTGTGTTGTTTTTCCTGCTCTGGAAGCCTTTAGTTTTTTGTTTTGTTTTTTTTAATGTTTATTTATTTTGAGAGAAAGAGAGAGGTACAGAGCCAGCGGGGGAGGGGCAGAGAGAGAGGGAGACAGAATCCCAGGCAGGTTTTGCACTGTCCGCATGGAGCCCAGTGCGGGGCTCAAACTCCTGAACCGCGAGATCAGGACCTGAGCCGAAATTTTAAGTGGGACGCTTAACCGACTGAACCGCCCAGGCACCCGTAGGTTGTTTTGTTTTGTTTTGTTTTGTTTTGTTTTGTTTTGTTTTGTTTTGTTTTGTTTTG